GGAAAAGACAATTCGATTTTCGCGTCGCTCACTTCGCTCTCCTGCATGTATTTAGAATGCGATTTAAAAGCGTACGCATCAAACCCACACGGTTTCAATGATATGTAGAATCTAAAAGCGCGCGACAATCAATACGGAGTGTTATCGCGTTTTAAAAATAAAAAAATAGGTCAAAATAAATTCAAACGAAATAGGAGATTTAACGAGGTTTATTCGCCGCGTAACGAAATAATCTAATATCGAGGATGGATCTTGTGGGATAAAAAGGAAATTACAAGAACCCGATTCTTCTTTTAAATGGTTGAGATTAAGAACAAAGCCTCTAGCAAGCCTATAGCAACCGAAATTTTCGATCTTATAAATTGAGAAAGTGAAGAAAATGGAGATTCGGGCCTGTTAAAAAAAAAAACGGCTTATTAAAGATGATAATTAAAAAAAAACGATGCGTGAATACTGGATACGTCCAACGTATCGCGATCGCGTGAAGAGAACAGAACGGATAATCCCAAATTGTATAATACAGACTGTAAAAACGGATTCTTACTTCTTTCCTACGATGTTCGGAATCATTGGGTGCCTAGGTATAATTAAAGCAATTAAAGGAAGCCTTTGTATTCGTACACATAGCACCGCGCACCGCGATTGGCAATGACGTCAGATGGGAAATAGAAAGCGATTCCTTTATCTCTCGCAACCATATGCCGTATTGAGGCAGATAGCGTTAATTGCTTCGATCCATCGCTAATGCGGTGAAAATGTAACGGTGAAATACGATCTCCCCTCCTTCCCCCTGCCCCTGGTCTGAGAGAAAAGTTCGTGGGCGCCCTACACGCGGGCGATCTACATCTAATAATCCTCGGCAAACGAGAAACCCTCGGTTCGAATAAAAAGTTCCGGAAACGTGGAGGGGAATGGAGGGATGGATTTATTCGACAATCCCCCGCTTGAAGTTGTTAGAACTTGAAGAGAAACTGAATCGACAAAAAACCTTGCATCTCTCGTGAATTTGATTCGGCTCGAGCCTCTCTATTCAGCGGAATAACTCACTTTTGCAACACGCACATTGTCCGCTTATCGTATCCCGTTATAAAATCTTAAAAGCATTTGTTGCAATAAACGCGAAAATGTTTTTCTCTTCCCGTGACCTATGTTGCCTCTCGACACGCCACGTTCGTGAGAAAAGTTCGACAGGCGAGCGACGCGTGTCTCTCTCTCTCTCTCTCTCTCTCCGTCTCTCTCTAGAGGCTGATACGAGGGTGGCGATTATTACTTCAATGCCATTACCGTGTCCTGAATGTGTAATACGGTGGTGCCTACTGTGTCCTAAATTGCGTAATACATCGATCGATGCGGCCAGGTATGACGTACCACGCGCCCGAAACTCCTCTTTTCGTCCTCCTCAATAGTTAAAGAGGCCACCCCTGTTGCGCGGTCTAAAACAGTACGGCGTATTTTACACACGTTTGCCACAAATTTAGACGAAATTCGTATCGAACGACGACGTATGTCTCCAATTACGTTTTCCACGATATAAGTCCCCCCCCCTCCCCCGAGTCCGAAAAGTTCGTTGAGCAAGAGTAATGTAAATTCGTAACGTCACGGCATGCATTTTACTTTCGAATAGAACTGGAGTTAAGAATTCTAATGGGAAACGTTGAGTGCCTAGATTATTAAAGTAACAGAAAAAAAAGCACTTAGCAATTCGTGATATTCTTCATGCCTTAACTCGCGCGTTTTGCATTCCACGTGTCAGGAGATAAACACGTACAAATTGATGAACAAACGGGAGAGAGTTCGTTAATTAATTTTACATTTAAATACGCTAAAAATAAAATATTTGACACGCGAAGTTCATCCGTGCACCGTCCATTTTCAACGCGAAGCGGCTTTTGATGAAACTAGCGATATCTAAAGCATCATCAGCGCGGATGTACTTGGGAGCTGAAGACAGAGCGAGAGAGAGAGAGAGAGAGAGAGACAATTCTGCGATATAGACGTAGAGATTCGTATTGTTATCTCATTGTGCAACGCGCTGTCCGATAAAGCGGCCAATTG